GCCAGGACACTGGTACAGGTGGAACTTGCTGCCTGAGGATCTAGGAGGTAGAAGAAGCTGAGTTGGCGGCTGCTCTCCCACTGGAGCCGAGAGCATCAATACCCGGGGCTTCCGGTGCAGCAGACATGCACTTCCGCCCCTGCAGCAGGGACGCACAGAAGCGCCCACCCCCAGGAAGGCAGCACCTATGCACAGAACTAGAAAGGACAAAAGCTCAGGTGCTTGGAAGTTCCCCTGGGGTCCCTTGGAATTCCTGAGACTCTCCTGGCTTGGAGGGCGTGGGCGCCTTGGGAGTGCCGGCCGGGCTCTTGGTGGGAGGCTGAGAAGAGCAGCAGCAGCAACAGAGAGAGAAGAGCCGGGTTCGGACGGCGCGGGTGCAGAGGACGAACATGATGCAGTTGGCACCTCCCTGAAACGTGTTCCCGATACCCTGTCAGGAGAAAAGGAGCTGTGAGCATGGGGCTGGAGTTGGTCTCAGAAACACACGTTCTCTTAATTCTTCCAATTAAGAGAAACGGCTAGGCTGGGCACGGTGGCTCATGCCTGTAATCCCAGCCCTTTGGGAGGCCGAGGCAGGCAGATCACTTGAGGTCAGGAGTTGAAGACCAGCCTGGCCAACATGGTGAAACCCTGTCTCTACTGAAAATACAAAAATTAGCTGGGCGTGGTGGTGTGCACCTGTAGTCCCAGCAACAAGGAGGCTGACACAGGAGAATCGCTTGAACCCCGGAGGTGGAAATTGCAGTGAGCCGAGATCCCACCACCACACTCCAACCTGGGTGATAGAGCCAGACTCTGTCCCTGAGCACCCCCTAAAAAAGAGAAATGGCTGAGAAACACACACACACACACACACACACATGCACACACATGCACACACATGGGGTGGCTGGGAAGTGCTGTGTACCCCAGCACCTCCCCCCATCCTCCCTGCCATGGCTGATCTGGGATGACCTTGGCAGTGGGCCTCCAGCAGGGCTCCAGGTCTTCTGGGCTGGGAAGGACCCAGGAGCAGTCAACTCTCCTGGGGCTACTCCTAGGCCACTGGTGAGCACCTCCCCACCCCGGACCACACTGATCCCACTCTGTCTCCTCTCTTCAAGGCCCTGTCTCGGGCAGAGAGGAAGGCACAGCACAGTGGGGCCGAGCTCCCTCCCTGCTGCTGTGCCTTGGCCGACACTGGGGTGCAGCCACTGTGCTGCGGGAAGGAATCAGGCTGTGCCTCCTCTGGGGGCAGGGATGACAACAAGGGCCAGGGAGGGCAGACCTACATGCAGAACGACCAGCACCGGCGTCCGCACCGCGGGGGAGTTACAGAGGGTCAGCACGAACCGCACGGTGCTCCAGACCCGGAGGCAGATGAAGATGAGCGGGATGAGCACCAGCTTCTTGTCCGCCACGGAGCAGTGGCGTGGCAGGCGGTGCTCCTCAGAGAGGATGGGCCGGTACTCAGAGAGCGCCATGTGCTGTGTGGGGACAGCGAGGGCAGACCTGAGCGGATGGGCACCCTCCCGTCACATCCACCCGGGGTGCCCAGGTCTTCCCAGGGACCTGAACTAGCTCAGGGAGGTAGGGGAGATGGGCGGTGGAGCCCGGATCCTTTTCCTGAACCCTGACTGCTAGATCCTCCGCCCAGTCCCCATCTCCATGTGGAGGTCTCAAAGTCATCTGAAACAGCTCAGGTCCAAGACAGAACACAGATCTTGACCCCTGAGGCCAATGCTCCCTTCCTGGTCTCAGCTCATGGAAACAACAGCTTTCCAGCTGCCTAGGCCAAAGCCTTGGGGCTCTGCTTTGAGCCCTTTCTTTGTCCCATAGCCCACATCCCACCCCGGCAAGTCCTGCGGCCCTCTTTGTTTGTTTAAAATAGATACACGGTCTCACTATGTTGCCCAGGCTGATCTCAAACTCCTGAATTCAAGCAATCCTCCTGCCTCAGCCTCGCAAAGTGCTGGGATTACAGGTATGAGCCGCCACCGTGCCGACTTCTAACTTCAAAACAGATCCAGACTCTGGGTACTTCTGCCACCTTCTGTCACTGCCCCGTGTCCAGGCTGTGTCACCGCTTCTCTGGATGGGCTCCCTCCTCCGCCCTGTCACCCCGTCCTGCTCCCCACTGCGGTCCATTCTCAACACAGAAGCAGCAGGGCTGCTTGAAAACCGGTCTGCTCCAGCGAGTCCTCCACTCGGAGCTCTTCAGCGCTCCCCACTCCACACGCTCCTTATGGTCACAGCGAGGTCAACCCTTATGGTCACAGCGAGGTCAACCCTGCAGCCACATCGACCTCCTTGTTATACTGCAGATGCACAGCACCCACACCCCAGGGCTCCGCACTGGCTGCTCCCTTGCTCTGGAATGCCCATCTCCATCTGTCCCTGGGGCTCCCCCCTTGCTCACTTCAAGACTTTGCTTAAGCAGCACCTTCTGGATAAGGCCCGATGCCCCTACTTAAACTGCACAGAGGCCGGGCACGAAGGCTCATGCCTGGAATCCCAGCACTTTGGGAGGCCGAGGCGGGCAAATTGCTTGAAGTCAGGAGTTCGAGACCAGCCTGGCCAACATGGTGAAACCCCATCTATACTAAAAATACAAAAATTAGCTGGGCGTGGTGGCACATGCCTGTAATCCCAGCTACTTGGGAGGCTGAGGCAGGAGAATCGCT